ACCCGCTAGCCCCAGGTAACCACTAGCCTACTTTCGGTATATAAATATGCCTAATCCCAACATTTCATATAAATGGAATCATGCACTGTTGTTGATGTTAGGTGCCATCGAGTTGATACCAACTCAGAGTGACCCTATGCACCATAGAACGAAACACTGCCTGGTCCTGAGTCAACCTCACATTCGTTGCTACATTTGCACCTATCGCTGCTGCCACTGTGCCAGTCCATCATCTCCTTGGAGGTCTTCCTCTTTTTTTCGACTCTCCATTTTACCAAACATGATATTCTTCTCCAGGGACTGGTCCCTCCTGACAATATGTCCAAAGTATGAGAGACTGAAATCTGGCCATCCAAGGAGCATTCTGGCTATACTTCTTCCAACACAGATTGGTTTGTTCTTTTGGCAGTCCATGGTACTTTTAATATTGTCCTCTAACACCATAACTCAAATGCATCAGTTCTAAGTCCTCTTTACTTTGAGCAAGCAAGGTTGTATCATCTGTATATCACAGATTGTTTTTGTTAGATGCTGTCAAATTGGGTCTAACTCATAGGGACCCTATGTACAACAGAATGAAGCACTGCCTGGGCCTTTGCCATCCTCACAGTTATGTGTGAGCCCATTGTTGTAGCCACTTTGTCAGTCCATTTAGTTGGGGGTCTTGCTCTTTTTCCTGGACCCACCACTTTTAACGAGTATGATGTCCTTCTTCAGGGACTAATCCCTCCTAACAACACATCCAAAGTAGGAGAGATGAAATCTCACCATCTTCCCTTCTAAGTATAGCATTCTGGCTATACGTCTTCCAAGACAGATTTGTTTGTTCTTCTGGACCATGGTACTTTCCAACACCATAATTCAAATGCTTTGAGTCTTCTTTTATCTTTTTTATTTGTTGTCTAACATGCATATGAGGCTCTTGAAAATATTCTACCATGGCTTGGGTCAGATGCACTTTAGTCCTCAAACTGACAATCTTTGCTGTTTAACACTTTAAAGAGATCTTTTGCAGTAGATTTGCCTAATGCAAATATATCAGTTGATTTCTTAAATGCTGCTTCCGTGATCATTGATTGGGGGTCCTAGCAAAATGTTGACACTTCAGTGTTTTCTCCATTTATCATGATTTATTTATTGGTCCAGTTGTGAGGATTTTCATTTTCTTTACGTTGAGATGCAAGCCATACTAAGAGCTGTCTTCTTGACTTTCGTAAGTATTTCAGGTTCTTTTCTCTTTTGGCAAGCAGGGTTGTGTCTTCTGCATATCTCAAGTTGCTAATGAATCTTCCTCCAATCCTGATGCCGTATTCTTCTTCATATAGTCCAGTTTCTCCGATTATTTGCGCAGCATACAGATTGAATGAGTATGCTGAAAGATTACAACACTGCACACATCTTTCCTGATTTAAAACCATTCAGTATCCCCTTGTTATGTTTGAACAACTGCCTCTTGATTTATGGACAGGTACCCCATGAGCCTCCATACCTCCCAGCCACAGGTAAGCACTGATCTACTTTCTGTATATAAATTTGCATAATTTCATACTCCATATAAAAGGAATCATGCAATAGGTGGTCTTTTTTTTTTTTTTTCCTGGATTCTTTTACTTAGCATAATATTTTCAAGGTTCATCCATATTATAAAATGGATCAGTGCTTCATTTCTTTTTGTTGCTAAGTAATATTCCTAGAGGTATATCACACTTAATCACATTTTATTTATCTACTCATCTGTTGAAGGACATTTTTTTTCTTTCCACTTTTTGACTATTATGAATCCTGTGATGCATATTCATGTTCAAGTTTTTGTGTGGATATTTATTTTTATTCATCTTGGGTATACATGCATACAGACACACATATGTATACCTAAGAGTGGAATTATTTGGTTATATGTTAATTGTATACTTAACTTTTTAAGGAACTGCCAGACTGAGGTGGCTATTTTAGTTTATAATCCTAGCAGAAGTGTATAAGGGTTCTAATTTCTCTACATCATTGTTACCTGGCTTTTTTATTTAAACCATTCTAGAGTGTGGCTCTGTAGGATAAGCAAGGTCGATTTTTAACTCACCAGTCGCTCCTTGGAAACCCTATCTAGGGCCATTATGAGTCAGAACTGACTTGACAGCACCTAACAACACACAGTGAGGAATTCTTATATGCCGCTATAGCATAAGCATTGGACTGCTAACTTTAAAATCGGCGCTTCAAACCCACCAACTGCTCCTTGGAAACCTATACAGGGTCATCACTTATATATGGTCATTTGTAGATTTTTTTTTTTTTGAGAACTACTTATTCAAATCCTTTGCTAATTGGTAATTTGGTTTGCTTATCTTTTTATTATTTAATTGTTGTTAGGTGCCGTCAAGTTGGTTCCGACTCATAGCAACCCTGTATAGGGTTTCTAAGGAGTTGCTGATGAGTTTGAACTGCTGACCTTGTGGTTCAAAATGACCTTGCGGTCCAGTGCATTATACCCCAGCACCACACCAGGATTCCATTATTTAATTCGAAAAGTTTTTTTTTTATATTTTGGGTACAAGCTTCTTATCAGATAGATGATTTACAACAGTTTTCTCCCATTTTGTCGGTTGTCCTTTCACTTTCTTGTTTGTGTCCTTTGAAGCAGGAAAGTTTTAAAATTTCCTGACATTCAATTTACCTATTTTTTCTTTTGTTTCTTGTTCTTTTGCTGTCACATCTAATTAGCCATTCCAAGGCTACAAGATGTATGCCTTTGATTTCTTCTGTGACTATCATAGTCTTAGCTCTTACATTTAGGGCTCTGATCTATTTTTAGTTCATTTTTTATTATAATGTAAGGAAGGGATCCAACTTTATTCTGTTTCATGTGACTGTCTAGTTCTACCAGCATCATTTGTTGAAAACACTATTTTTTCTCCATTGAATTGTTTTGACAACCTTGTCGAAAATCAAGTGATAATAAATTTGAAGGTGTGTTTTGAGGCTCTTAGTTCTATTATATTGATCTGTTTGTCCATACACTTATGTTTTTCTTTCATTCTTTTATTCATGCTACAAAGATTTGTTGCACACCTGCAGATAACAGGCATTGTGGATGGCATAGCGTTGTTACTTCCTGTTGGAAAACAAACTATCATTCTTCCTCAAATCTTAAAAATCATTTTATAATATATACTCATAGCATCTCTTTTTCTGAATAAGATATAAGGTGATTTGCTCTCATAACCAAATCGAGAGAAGTAATTTTAGATCTGATTTGTGCATAGGCTTTTGGCCAGTTGTAGATTGCCACAAAGCCAGTGATTCACATCCACAAGCCGCTTCTCAGAAACCCTGGGCAGGGTTGCTGTAAGTCAGAACCCATTTGATGGCACTTACAACAAAAACAAGTTGCCTTGCAGTTATGATTGATTTTTGTGCCTCCCTGTCTCATCTCTAACCCCCAAAATGTGTTGTAAATCCTAACCTCTATGCTTTAGGTTATAATCCCACTTAGAAATGGGTTTTCCTTGTTATGTTAATGAGGCTGAATTAGTGTCTGATATATTTTAAATCAGTTTGAAAGAACAGATTAAACAAGCAAGCAAAAACTGTTCAAATGGAGAGAAGATACACACATGATCACCAAGGAACCTAGGGGTAGAAGCTGAAATGAGGCACAGACCTTCCCCAGAGTGGGCAGAGTGTACCTTCCCTAGAGCTGGCACCCTGAATGTTGACTTAGCCCATAAAATGTGAAAAATAAAATTCTGTTTGTTAAGGACATCCACTTGTGATATTTTTGTCATAGCAGCACTAGATAGCCAAGACACTAACAACATAATTATTCCAAAGAACAAAAATTGGTGTGGTGCTGTATGAGCTGCACTGGACTATGAACCACAAAATTGGCAGTTCAAGCCTACCAACAGCTCCATGGAAACCCTATATAGAGACAGTGAGTGGGAACCAACTCATTGGCACTTAGCAACAATCCAGCGAATGTATTGACAGTGAGGTTTGTTTTAAAGTAGACAAAGGATCTGCATTTGTGATAGGGGTTCCTGGAACATGTGGAGTGGCCTGTGTGCCACTTGAGAGGGCCAGGAAGCTGGTTAGTATAGTTGCTGTGGACAAACAGCCATAAGGCCAGAGGGAGATTGCTGGGGACTGATGCACTGGATACACATCATTATGCTTTGAGGTTTTTATCTTACTTTGGGTTCAAAGTACTACCTTTAGATTTGTTCTAGTAGTGCCATGCCAGTGAGTCGATTTCCATTCATAGAGACCCCATGTGACCTCATAGGGTTTTCTAGGCTATAATCTTAACAGAGCAGATTTTCCTCAGAGTGGCTCATGGCATGGCTCAAGTCCTCCAGGTAAAAGACACTTTTATCAAGCAGGACATTTCAAGGGCTTAGAGATGAGGACAAAGGCCAGACCTCTTTTTTTGGCAAGTTTAATCTTTACTACTCTGAAACCCAAAATATAAGTCAATTTTCAATACCTGATTTCAGAGGTTAAATATTGATTTTGTTTTCTCTATCTATGTGTACTTATCCAGTGTTTCTTTTTTTAAACTAGGCTTGTGAAAGTACCTAAACCCCATGGATCATCATTGCCATTGATAATATTATTGTTTCTAGGGAGAAAAGCACTTTTAATCTTAGTGTAGTGGTTACGAGTCAGGTGCTAACCTCAAGGTCAGCAGTTTAAATCAGCCAGCAGTTTTGTGGAAGAAAGATAAAGCTTTCTGCTCCTGTAAAGTTTTATACAGCCTCGGAAACCCTGTATATGTGTCGTGGAGTTACTCGCTATATGAGTCAGAACTGACTCCATAGCACATAACCACCACAGCCATGTTTTAAAGAGGGAATTTGTATAACAAGATACGTAAGTTTCAGTTATTCAAGCTGGTTTTGGCCCTAAATAATTAAATTTGGATGTTTTGTAAAATGTATTATGTATTGAAACTTAGTGAGTACTACAGTACATTTATTTACCCCTCCTAAAATATCTTTCAGGAATTGTGCCGTCTTCTGTTGTCCTGACTTCTTTCCAGGTGATGTCAAGGGTTTTTCTAATATGGGCAGTGACACATAGTGTCAAAGAGGTAAGTGTGCATATGAAGTAAAATAATATCAGCACTAGCAAACACTACCCACCTGTTTTTTTTCAAATGTATGTCATGGCTAAAGATGGAACTCCAGATTGTACCAGTATAACCCAGATAAAGTTGAGTTAATCATGGGAACCATACCCCAAATATACAGCATTGTGAAAGACTTATCCTTTTTAATTATCCATTGGAGCTAGTCACATAAATGTCACCATGCACCCTGTATAGCTAAAAGATGATCAGATGCTTTTCTTTTGTGCCATGGAAGGATTCATCCAGCAGTTTGTCTGACACCTTTATTGGCAGAATATGATAGTCCTACCATCTTAGTTCCCATGGAGTTTTGAATGGTGTGGATGTGGTCTGCAATTCAAATCCATTTTTCTGGTGTGCATTTTATTTGTACCCAGAACACCAGGCTCTGGTAGCTCATTTTTGTAGTTGGGATCATGCTAGCTGCTGTAACAGGGAAGGGTGATGAGTTATCCCCAGAGCAGTCTGATCTTTATGGAACCAGGAGAAACAAATTTCTTCCCACCCAACCCACCAGGGCTAATGGAATTGTCAAATGTGTTGAGTCCAGTGGTTCTGAGCGAGAACTGATCTGAGGGGCCTAGGATATTAGATACCCAGGCAGGCCCAAAGATACTCTTTACAAGAACTTAGGTGAAACACACCATTATTATCAGTGTTGAATTATCCAGTGATGAGATGTGGTAGAAAAGCATGTGAAACTTATCACTACAGATTAGTGAAATAGCACAGATAAGCCCATGCTTATCTTGCATATTGGGTACTCCACCAGTGTTTACTGTGAGTCTGAGTCTGCTGCAGCTAAACTTTCATTTTCCTGTATATAAATTAATTTTTTATTCTAGTATATCTAGTATCGGCTTATTGTGTGGCACTGTAGGATCAGCCCTGGACTGCAAACCACAAGGTCAGCAGTTCAAACCCACCAGCTGCTCCTCAGAAATCCTATACATGATTGCTGTGAGTCAGAACCAACTCAACAGCACTTAACAGCAACTCCTGATGTGACTGTAAGATAAGCACTGGACTGCAAACCACAAGGTTGGTGGTTCAGACCCATCAGCTGCTCCTCAGAAATCCTATACAAAGTCGATATGAGTAGGAACTAACTTGATAGCACTTAACATGGGTTTTGCTTTTTTAATTTCCATCGTCTCTTCCTCATGTAAACTTGAGGTAGCCACAAGGAGTCTGCACTTTTCATTTTTCTAGTCCCAGTGGCCTATCACTAGCATTATTGGATTCATTGGGACCCAAGAAATGTGCAAATCCATCACACTATTCTGTTGTTTTCTTTGTCCTCTCTTCTTTTCAGATGCTTGTTAGAACATTTTGTTACACAGGATTTACTTTGGCAATTTCATTTGTATTTCAAGTAATGAATTTTTTATTGACATACAAAAAATGCACGTAACTGATGAGTTTTTAACCAAAATTGACCAAGCTAAGTTTATTATTGTTGTTATGTTGTCGGTAAGTGTCGTCCAGTTGGTTCCAACCCATAATGACCCTGTATAGAGTTTCCAAGGAGCAGCTGATGGATTTGAAAACATTGACCTTGTGGTTACCAGTGCAGTGCTTATCTTATCCTACAGCACCACACCGGGACACCATTTTTGTCATTGATGTTATAGTCATATATGAAAGTTGTAGAGCCATAGGGGTTTTTTTTTGTTGTTTTAAAAGCTTTCTAATCTCTTGAAGATGTCTAAATTTTATATGCAGGAAGAATATAAAACAATTGCATATTTTTGTCTTTAGAATGATAAAACATTCCCTTTATAAAGTAATAAATAAAAGAAAAAGTAGGTAAATCAAGCGTAATATAGCATATTGGCCTCTGTTCTCACACAGAATTATTTACAGAGTTAGGAAAGCTACTTAATTTATGGATACCATGTCACCTCCCCACTCATTC